CAGGGCTAAAACTTACTGATAAAATTGCGCCTGTATGTCCTATTTTTTAATGATTACGACGCTTTGTACTTATTTAACGCTCACAAATAAAATAGCACACAGACATAGGTATATGTGCAAAATGCGCGTAAATTATATTACCACTTAGAGTAGATGTACATCTGGTGATAGCTCTAACTTTAAAGATTGCTTGTGGTTGATACACGATAGTTAATATATCTTCAGTTGATCTTTTTAAAGCTTTAATGATGTCGTTAAATAACGTAGTAGTTATTTCTTTATCATCAACAGAAAATGAATATGGAAGGTGTTCATCCTTATTTTGAAAAAAAAGAGAGAAAAAATGAACTTATTCGTAGTATATTTAAATGGAGGGTTTTAAATGAAATCATTACATTGTTCAATAATTGATTAACCAACAGTTCAAGTTGTTCCGGGGTAATGTCTACAGGCAAACTTAGTGGTGGACCGGTGATTTCACCGTCAACAGATTTTAGCTGTGCTAGTAGCATGATGAAATTCGTTTATATCACAATTCGACGATCATTTTATTTGAGATCATTTTGACGAATAGTTCGTTACAAAATTTCGTTGGCAAGCCTTTGCAATTTACCATTTGTCAACAAAAATTCCAATCAACGAGCAAACAGGTCGCAAGATTGAAAAACACATTTAAACGGTTTCTAGAGAATTTCTTTTTTTAACAGAAGGTTAGCGAGTTTTGAATGATTCACACAAATCACAAGATTATTAGTGCATTGGAGATAATTGTCAAATATTTATATCGGACAAAAAATGTTCTATTTCAAAATTAGAATTTTATTTTCACGCCTTTATTAATAATTGTTAATCATCCAAAATGCTAAAAATACTGTTAAGCTTTGAAACGTATAGGCTCAATAACCAAACAAGTTAGAGTAAAAAAGTTTCCATAGTTTTTTTTTCTGTGATTCAAATAAAGTTATACGATTTTATTATAAAATTTTTTCCTTGAAAATCTTTTCCTTTTGAAGAGAATGCATTAAATAACATTCAATTAATCTTACGGGAGATTCTACAAGGAGTAAAGGTTCTAAGGAATTAGTTCTCATTTTTTGACTGCACGTGCATTATGAATTATTCTTTTTCTTTTATTGGGCTTCGGTTCACATATAAAAACATATAAAAATCCGTTGTGGCAAAGTAAATAAACTTTTCTTATTATTATTATGTATCCC